GGAGAGAGCCCTTCTAAATTAAAATCACCTACCAGAACCATTTCATTGGGATCTAAATTACTTTGTAGATAAGAGCTGCATTAAGGACAACAGGCTTTCAGATGTGGTGGTAGAAGGTCTATAGCAGCCAGCAACAGATAACGACTGACCAACAGACAGTTCAGTATTTAGGGCCAAGATTTTAAATTGTTTAGGTGCTGATTTTGTAAATACCAGTTGTGTCACCAAGCTAGATCTGACATATATTGCTACACCGCCTCCTTTTCTGTGACCATCTGAACGATAAATATTGAAACAATTAATTGAAAAATATTTGTCCAGAACAGATTTAGTTAACTAAGATTCAGAAATAACAATAATATCAGCACCAGTAGAAGAAGCCCAAATCCTCACTATATCTATTTTTAAAAGGAGGCTACGAGCATGAATATGGACAATGTGTCAACCTGACATGGTTTTAAGATCTGTTGGAGTATTACATGATGCGAGATGACCAGGACTGGGTTGAATACCAGCAATAAAAACATTACAAGCAGACATTTGTGAGAGTTCTTTGTGGCAGTAGTATAATTGTTGGACTTTATGATCTTGGTCCTCACAGACATGTTGTCATGAGATGTGTTCATAAAGATGTGGTTATCTAGAACCCAGTAGCAGAGAAGTTGGCATGGACGAACAAGTTCAGATGCACCAACATGGTTTGACCATCCAGAATGGATGGTCTGCTCCAGAACATGCACATGAGGGGGCACAAGGAGCACAGAACCACAGGGCCCTGGATGTTCACAAGCTGGTAGGATTGGTTCACCTCGGGCCCGGCTTCGACCCGGTTCGTGTAGCCCAGAGGGATCGGCACAGCGATCTGGCTGCACACGATGTCGACGTAGAGAGGGTGGACATGTTGGTGCAGCTGCTGGAAAGCAGAATGAGCCCGTCCTGCAGCCACATGATCATCATCAACAAGAAGCTGCACAAGAGTTTACCCGTCACCATTGTAGGGGGCGGGGGGGGGGGGGTGTGTGTAATCAAATTAATTCAGAAGAAGGAAGAAGAAGATGAAAGGTTAAAAAAATATGGCTCAAAAGAGCAGAAAAAAAAAAAAACAACTGCCACAGTACGTCACTCGCAGATCCAACAATCGGAGTTGTGATGCCTCGAACCGATTCCTCTCCTGCATTTAAAGAAAAAGTCCATTATGTGATGAGGCGCAAGGACCGGGGGGTGTTTCCGCATTTCCACTGACTCTTAGAAGCCACAAGTCAAAACAAAACAAAAACAATCCAGAGGAATGCAAATATCTTAATCTTCATCTGGAAGATCCAGATAAACTCTGGTGAGCTCCAGTGAAGACACGATCCTTCGAACAGCACCTCCGTGCTCGAGACTTCCTGCGCCAGCAAGCTGTGCTCAGCTGACCCCTGAGGCTGGAGGTAGTGCAGCGTTTTCAAACTCTTGAAGTGAGCTGGACCTTCAGAGTACCAGCAAAAAAAAACCATACAATGCTCCAAAACAAATCCAGAGGAATCCAGATGAAAAAGTTCAGATTATCTCCTGGGAAGACTCCAGACCTTCCAACAACATTGTCCTGCCCAACAAGCCAGCTGAGCCTTCAAGCAGCGTTTGGACTGACCACTGACCGCTGGGGCTGGACGTAGTCCAGGTCCAAATTCCTGGTTGGTTCTGTACGACTCTCTACAGCCAGTGAGCGGCAACGTCACTTTGAAGACGGTCCAAACTTAATCAGGTTTGGATCGGGTCAGTTTGTTATGAGGCTGCAGCAGCGCCGAGATGCTGCCGACTGCAACGGTAGCAGGAAGTGCTACGAATTCCATGAGTACTGGTACGAGCACTAACAACAGCCTGGACACTTTGACAATTACAACCTCGAATTATAAATTTGATGAATTCCAAAAGGTGATTTTTATGTTGGACATCCATTTTGTGAACAAGTTTTCTTTTAAAAATGTTGGAAAGTAAAATAATTGGTTCGAAACCCCCCAACTATAAAGGCTCATTGTGTCTGACTGACGGTCGTCATCCGTCACTTTCAGAACAACAAAAACACTTTTCTTACCCAATAGCATCACTAAAAACAGAAATAAAGTGTTGAGACAAAAAAGGCTTTGGTCCGTTTCTGTCCTCAACATTTTAAAAGACATCCAGTTCAGAGCAGCACGAGTGGAAAGAAGACAAAAAATTGCCACCACTTTGAAACATTAGCTTAGCATTAGCTTGCAGGCAGTGTCGGCTAATCATTAAGCAGCTTATTTTATTTAATTGTTTTATGGATCATTTGTAAAAACACCAAACCCAGTGAATTTATGTGGCATGTTTGTGATGATGAGATCCAGGAGAGATGATTTGGCAGGACAAAAAAAAAAAAAAAAAAAAAGCAGCTTGTTTAGCTACTTTTTAGCTCATCCGTATGTTCCCAGGCCCTGGTCTGCTCAATTGTTGCCGAGTCTTCTGTACAGAATGTCTGTGAATGTTTCTGTTCAGTGCCCTGAGACGATTTCTTTTGTGAATTAGAGCTACAGAAATAAATTGAACTGTTCATTTCAAATACCTCAATTCAGTTCAGTTCAACTGCATTCAATTCAGTTTTCAACTCAGTTCTACTTAATTCTATTCCGATTTTAATTCTATTCCGATTTTAATTCTATTCCGATTTTAATTCTATTCCATTTTCAAAAGGAAAAACTCCTTTTAACAGGAAGAAACCTCCAGCAGAACCAGGTTCAGGACCAGCGGCCATCTGCTTTAACCAGCTGGGCAGTGTTGCCAGATAAGAGTCGAAAAACCGCCCCATCAATATATTGTTATATTTACTGTTTGAACACACACACACACACGCACGCACGCACGCACACACAATACCCCCCACCCCCTGTAAAGATATATTGGTGTTTATATGTTCATCAATGTGATTAATCAAAATCAGTTAAATGTGAACGTTCGTTCTCTTTATTCAGAAAATCAACACGTCACATTTCAGGATCTGATTATTAGACACAGATTCAATGTTCAATACAAATATTTCTATATTTATCACCAATGTAGCATGAAGCTGCACTGCTCTAAATATGACCCCGACCCTTATTCATCTTCCAGACTCACCATGAATCGTGTTTTTTTTAAGTTTCCTCTGACTTCAATAATGTCTGATGTTTTTCTAAACATTTCCTGTCCTTGGACACAGAGTCAGCTACAGTCTGACTAATGTTAATCTTATTTCTTCCTGTTTCTAAGAAAGAAAATCAAATCATTAATGAAGTTTGTTTTATTTGATTAACAAGTGTGAACATGAATAATTTTGATTGTTGTTTTCAATCATTATGATGAAATCATGTGAAATATTACAATGTGAATAAAATATTTCTCTGTTCTGTTTTTCAGAAAGTGATTGTTCCTTCAGAGACACCTGTGAAAAAGTTCTTGGAGCTGGAAGCTGCTTTCTTCAGAGGGGAGCCACAATGTCCCAGAGAGTAGTCAAAATAATCCTGAGCAGAGAGCTGTTGTTTTGCACGTCTTGGACCCCCGAACTGAGTGGTTCGTTTTGGACTCCTGATGCGGAGAGATCGTCTCCGGCCCCGAACCGGAAGGTGGTTCATCTGTGGACCTGATACTGGAGGTCGTGCCAAGGTCCACTCGTTCAACTCCTGAGCAGCTAAACATGTCGCTCAAATTACAATTGTTAGAAGTTTAACTAACTGCAGAAGATTAAGCCTTTTCTCACTGCAAGACTCGTTCTCAGCTTGAAGTCCAAACTGACAGAGGGTGCTGATGGACGGTGCACCTTCTCATCAGCTGTTGCTCTCACAGACCCCTGAAGCTGTCACAGTGATGGTCAGCTACCTTGGGCAGTTCCAGGCAAGTCCTCCTCGTGGTGTCTCTGGTCAGATCCATCATAGAACCCCAGAAAGTAATAGTGTTACACACATTAGTAGTTGTAAACACTATAATACATGTTGGTTTAGTGCTTACCTTTAACCTAAACATTTAAGGAGTAAACAGTTTTAATAATCACATTAAAAGTTACAAATGTTGTCTTTGGTGCCTGTTTGTTTTTCAAATGTATTAGTGTGTGTGAATGACAGCCATTAACTTTATGAAGTTCAGTCCATTTCCTTCTATCAGTTGACCGGCAGTTCTGCCACATCCAATATGGCGGCTGCCTTGACGTACCGCTGCAACGGGTCAGCCCGCTCAATGAGGTGTCCACTAACTGTCTCACCAGTCCTCTGTTGTGAACGCCCTGGCACATGACAATAGCCAATCAGTGATGGAGAAAGGTCAGGGGAGCTTTGCTATGAAATAATGATGAATGACTGTTTGAAATGTGTTTAACAGGTTAACCCAAAAACCGCTGATCTGACTCCAAATCCAGCCAAATTATCCCTGCCTGCCCAAAGTAATATTCACCTGCAAAATCAGAATGAAAACCGTCAAATCTGGCAACACTGCAGCTGGGTTTGAGAGGAAAGGAGGTAGGAACAAAGACAGAATGACATGTCCAGGTGTACTTTCTACAGGAGGAACCTCCATGCAGCTGCTTTAGTTTTTCTATTAGCATTAGCAACCAACCTGATGGTACATTACTGCTACCAGTGGCAAGGAGTGTGGATCAGGACATCCATCATCTTTCTAACTTCCTTTCCGGGTCGCGGGGGTCACTGGCGTCCATGTCCAGCCATCACTGTGCGAGAGGAGGGGGAAACGTGGATGTGTTTTTGCATAAATGTTATTGCTCTGCCTCGACTAACCAACTGCAGAGAGGAACACGTGTGTACAAGTACAGTATCGGACCGATACCCAGGACTGGTACTGGTGCATCCCTATTAAAACCACAAAGAAAGCTCTGCCACGGTGCAGGAAGGCGGAGCTGAAGCACAGCAGAGAGGGACAGTCCAACATGTTGTAATAAACTTAAATCAACCTTCATGACCTCCAACTTTAATAGTTGTCCTTCAGGTTGTGAATGGTTCTGAAAAAGAAACACAAACAGAAAAAAGTAAACTTCTTTCCCTTTTTGCTTTGACTGTAAAAAAAACAGTCGAGTTTCTTTTCTGCTGTTAATATTAACCGGAGTCCCTTTGTTCTAAGAGGAGGACATGGTTCAGAAAGGTAACTCCTGTTTTTAGACCGTAAACAGTACCAGGAAGTAGCTTTGACTTGTATGTTCCTAAAATTCATGATTCTTGTTGATTCTGATGAGTGGCACTGCGAGGTAACGAAGCAGGACTCGTGAAGTGGAATCAAGAGAACAGATGGATGCGAGATGAAGATCCGAGTCCATCTCAAGTAGTTGGACTTGAGCTTGTAGGACAGTGTTTGTCTTTGGGTTTGTTTCTCGTCTGTTCTCCTGGTTGTTAGACATACGCATGCATCTGAATGTGATGTAGTGCTTGAACCTACATGCTTCTGTTGCACAACTTCCTGCATTATCTTCATGTTTTGTGTTTTTACGGAGTCTCCCAACGAGGAGCTGGAACCTGTAGAACTGTGGCAGAAACCCATCAACCCGCTGATCCAGCTGGATTCCTGCTGTGAAGCAGAACGGACTCAGAGCCGTTTGAGTCTACCGGCGTCATGGCTGACCTCCGTGCTGCTGAGGGTGACGTAGATGATGGGAACCAAACCCCGCGTGGAGCCCAAAGAGCAGAGCAGCCAGTCAGCGCTGGCCTTTCTCAGAACCTGCAGGTCGTCGCCCTTGTTGAAGCTCAGCTGGCCTGGCTCGGTGGCGATGTGGTGGCACAACGCTCGCACATTTCTAAGATCAAACCGGAGACAAAACAGGTGTTAAATGTAGTTTTTCTGATTAGATTTTAGATCAGCACTTGTGGATCTAACATTAAACTCACTTTAAACATAAGAGACGGTTTGTTTGTTAAAAGTTTGTTAGGTAAAATTAACTAAATTTGTTTGTTACAACTAAGTAAAGTTTGTTAAAATTAACTAAAGTTTGATACAACTAACTAAAGTTTGTTTTTTACAACTAACTAAAGTTTGTTACAACTAACTAAA